TTCACGTAGTTATGGATCATGTGAACCACAAAATAGAGTCGCACATACATACTGAGAATGTGACTCACAGCCAGCGCCATTATTCAGCTTATTGTGTCATCACTGATTCCATACACGGTCACAGAAACACATTTCATCAAGGACTGATACAGTCACTCTGGGAAAATTCTAGTTTAAAAAGTAAAGTGTCTATCTGGGTGGTAGTGGTACATGCCTTTAATCCCAGGACTCAGGAGGTAGAGACAGTCGGCTCTCTATGAGTTTGAGACCAGCCTGATCTACAAGATCTAGTTCCAGGACAAACTCTAAAGCTACACAGAGAAACCCTGCCTGGAAAAAAAGTAAAGGGTTTGGAGCCAGGAAGATCTGGGCTAGAGTAGGTTGTTTTTGACACTCACTGACTTGGGTTGTACATTACTTTGTTTTCTTTCATCCAGAGTGAAGGCAATAATTTAACACATTAGTTTTTAAAATGGCATAAACTATATAAAATTCATTTCAAAATATAAAGTAGTACCTGAAGATGGTAGTTTTTAGGTGTTTATTGTCACGTGCACCATGTGTCATTATATATTCTAAAAGAAAATCCCTTCCCCTTAAACAACACATAAAACTATTTTCTTTCTCATTTTGGAGAGAGACTTTATATGGCTATTTACTATGAAGACAACTCAACACACCAGAAGTGGTTGAGCAGAAGTTATGTGATATTTCTCACTGACTTCAAGACCTAGAAAAAAATAGGTTAATTAATTTAGTAGTTTAAACTGCATTCTTAATAATTGAGTGAATTGATAAACTGTCCAACTCGTGTTTATATTCATTTTAGATTGCCTTTGGATGACAAACTCAAGAATTGCATATATTAACTGTGCTATTAAATTAAATATTAAAATATTTGACAAATTACTTGCAAAAATATTTGCTTTATCTATTTGCTTTAGTCCCTAAACTCGAAAAACCAGATTGTTACGTCAAACTTTCTACAAAAATCCATAAACAGTCCTTAAAACATAAAAGTTACCTTAACATTTTTCTCTATCACTTAAAATCTGGTTTCTTTGCTAATCTTACATCCACTTTAGCTTAATAAAGAAACCTACCTCTAACCTTTGTTTTCTTTGAATACTGGAAATGAATGATATATTGCGTGTTTAATGTGTTTCATTTTGGCAGTCATCTAGCAGGATATCTGGAGTAATTGGTAGTGTACAAATTTATCATTCAATAACAATGAGAGATTGTCTTAGCCAAATACTTAATGAAATGACACAAGAAATTCTTTTCTTTCATAAAACCATTTAACATTCCAATCCTATAAGAGATGGGAATATGCTTTCTATAAATAAATACATACTGTGTAGCATAATATTTTAAGCCAGACTGAATTATAAGATGTAATAAAGACATTATGCTGAAGAGGTGGCATCTCCAAACTCCTGATACTGGCTGACTTCTACCTGCTGAACATGAAGACATGCCAAATTAAATATTGTGCCAATTCAGGCTTCATTAGCAGGACCTGTCATCTGTGCAAAAAGCTTCCTCACAAGTGTTTGATCGGTACTCTGGTGCATACTTGTTGAGCTTCATTTGCAAGATTGTCAGAGGACTAAATGTATTTTCACAACACCTTCCAAATCCTTAATCAAGCAAAGTCTAATGAAGCCAAACGGCAATTTCTTAACTCTTATTCACTTCCTTTTCTCTGGAGAGGATATTTATGAAGATGGAAGGAAGATGACGCATACCATTTTCTGTACAAAAGAGAGAGATCTGTAATCCCTAGATTAGCAGTGAACAATTCAAGTACCATTCTTCCTCATGAGGAGAACTTGAAGGAGGAACTTGTTTCATTACAGGATCTGCTTATGCCAACTCTAAATCCACAACCTTCACAGTTTACAAAACCCTCTTCCGTTGTGAGAAGAAAATTTTCACAATACTGACACCAAAATGACATGAATTGATATTAAAAGTCTCTTCAGCTATTCAACAGCAATCTTTATTCTTGTTTCTAAGGGATTGTTTGTCTGTCTGGCATGCAGGAAACTGGGACTCTCTGATTGAGCAATGCCTGGCCTCAGCCCAATCTTCTAAATAGTTTATTTAAAGCTGGGCATTTTGAAAATATTAGGTTTTGTTCTGTGGGTGTGTATATGGGGCAGACATGAAGTTGATACAATTCAGTCATAAAGATATTCTGAGTCACTCCTTACTTAGCTGGTTGGTGCTGTTATTTATGTTCCTCTATTATAGGCTTCAATGTGTTCAAAGTCTGTCTCTTCCGCTCACCAGGGTTACTCTGCTTGGGTCTCATCCCAGGAAACAATGGCCACACATTTTCACAAACTTTTTTTCATGTTACCTGATCATTTAAAAGAACATGAAGAGTACTCTATGCCTTCATTGATTAAGCTTGGGGAGCACTAACTAAAATTATGGTTTTGACTGGAACAATCTCTGAACTGGCATATTTTAGACCTCTTGAGAAGGTCATTGGCTATGCTTATTAATGTTTCTTAAACATATACCATGTACCATGCTGGGGAAATCCACAAAAACAGCTGATCTCAGCAAGTAGGAGCTCACGGACCCCAGACTGACAGCTGGAAAACCAGCATAAAACTAAACCAGGCCCCCCCTGAACATGGGTATCAGTTGGGGTGGCTTGGGCAGTAGAACCAGCATTTATCCCTAGTGCATGAATAGGCTTTAGGAGATCATTCCCTGTGGAGGGATACTCTCTCAGGCTAGATACATGGGGGAGAGCCTAGGTCCTGCTCAAAATGATGTGAGAGACTTTAATGATTTCTCATGGAAGGTCTCACCCTCCCTGGAGAGGAGATGGGGAAATGTTAAGGGGAATGGGTGGGTGGGAAGGAGAGGGAACTGGGATGGGATTGGTATGTAAAATAAGATAGTTTTTTAATTTATATAAAATTAATTTAAAAATGTATACCATGTTCAAGACCCTGCCATGCATGTGTGCACTCATGTGCACACACACACACAAACACACACACACACACACACACACACACACACACACTACCCTCAAGAGATTCACACTCTAAAGAGAAGATACTGATTGGGCTACAGCCAGCATAATCATTGACAACTGTTTGACAACATTCATAGTCTGATTTTAAAGGCACAGAAGGACAATCAGAAACCCAACCTGACTCCATAGGTAAATAGCAATCTTCAGCATCACCAGGTGCCTGGAAAACACAATTTTATTTACGTGGGGGGGGGGAGAGACATTAAAGTGTTTTAGAAAGATTTTGAGTATTTTAGAAGTTATTCAAAGAATGGGGTGATGTGTAGATTGGACTTTGTGGTTATCATAGAAAGAGTTGTATGACTGTCTACTCTAAATTTAATTTTATTTATCAAATTCTGTTAAATGTTATGGCTAACTTTGATATAGTCTATAGAACTAGTCATGGCAACAGCATGTTTCAGTGCAAATTTCTTACAGCTGTATAGTTTGCAAAACACATGTTTTAAAAAGTTCCACAGGATGAATAAATAAAATCTGTGAAGCTTTCTACTAAGCACAAATGATACAGTCATTAAAAGAGTTGATGCGACCTATTTTAAAATGTGCAAGGCCCTGGGATAAGTGCTGGGTACTGGAAAGTCAAATCTCCTTACCAGAATTGTGGTACATTCTGTATCACACTAGAGTGGCTGACACAGGGAACTTCATGGTCAGCATACACTACATAGATGCAACCTCAAATCAAACACAAAGCCTGGCAGGTAGAGCTCTGGCATAGCATGTGCAAATGACACAGGGTCCCTTGCAGCCCAGCACGTCTTAGAAATCTACAGCTGGTGCTTCTTCCTCTACTCCACAACTACTGGGATTTTGTACATATAATTAATTTATTAATCATTGTTTTCAGGTAATTTACAACACAAATTTTCTAAAATAATATTCATCATTCTGTAAGTGCAATTTCCATACATATGTCTTGTTGTGAGACTCTCCTGGGGTGCTGGAAATAAAACCTGGGTCCTCTGTAACAACAGCCAATGTTCTTAGCCAAGCACTCTCTTCAGTATCAGATTAATTCTTTTCCAAAAGTGACAAAACACAAAAGAAACCTACAAAACAAAAATCTTCCTCATGCATGCCCTAGTTCAGTCATCTGGGATCTGGTTACTTCATCTCTTTGTTGTTGGCCATGGGCTAAAAGGTGTCCAATAGAACTGATTCACCGAGCTCATTTGCATCAGCCCTTTTAGGTATTTCTCCCAGTCCTTCAGATAAAGAAACCTGGATATTCCAAGTGAGTCACAGACATATGCCAAATCCAAGAGCTGATGTACAGATTTCTAAGGATCCAATATCTCAATTTGTATGAAATACAAATTTTCGGTAAAACGTGAAAATCATGTGAAAGAGAAAAAGGAGGGGGGAGGGAGATGGAGAGGGAGGAAGGGATGTAAGGGGAGAGAGAGAGAGAGAGAGAGAGAGAGAGAGAGAGAGGAGAACTGACTATCTAATAAGCAAAAGGCAGCATGAGCCTCTGGCCTCAGAAGGAGCACATATGGATTAGATGTTGGGAGAGAGCACGTTCCCAAAGACAGTTATTGCTTAATGGGATCCATGACCATACATTCATTATGAGGGATAAACACAGCTCCCTGTTGGCTCCCCAACACCACTGACAGTTGGTAGTTGGGATTTTAGCTCACTTTAACACCTCAGACATGTTTTAATTTCCTTTTCCTGGTTCTACAATATTAGAACAAAGTTTTCATTCTGTGAGAAAATAGATGAGCAATATTAAAATAGGAAAACTTGGACACTGCCTATACCAGCTATGCTGTTGCCAAGAATAACGATTAGGTAAAGAGTCCCTGTTCCTGCCATTGAAAAATTAATTTGGAAAATATCTATCAGCTTTTCAGATATGAAAAAATTTCAAACAGGAGCTTCTAATGTTACATCTTAGAAGTCAACGAAAGCACAAGGTTTACATTACACACATTTCCATTTGAACTACCCGTGTTCATTGTTTTTTATGAAAGTAAAACAATGGGAAAAAAGTGTATTTTTGAATTCTGAGCTTGTTTATTTAAAGGGGAGTTTTTCACCCTGAGGAGAAATCAATATGTACATCAAGCATTCCTCTCAGAACCCTATCTAAAGGAAAATCAGCAGTAGCCACGAAGCGTAGTGTCAACATTCAAGTGTAGTGCCTGGCTCATCTGTTCTTAATGCTGCAAAGAGGGCATGGGCAGTATTCAAAGAGAGAAAGCCAGGCTCTGATTTTTTGTCTTCATTCTGGCTTTCTGACAGAAAATCTTTAACATGCAGACTCTGCAGAGAAAGCAAACAATCCCTTATGTAAATTTGTCATTTACAAGCATTGGACATCAATGTGCTATTAAATCGCATATCATTCTTCCTGGAAAAACAGTACTTTTGAAAAACAATAGTATTCATACAGCACAACAATATAAAAGAGGCTCTTCTTTTCTCCTACCTGCATGTTTACAAGGAAAATATGAAAATCCTTTATTAGTAAAAATAAATACAAAAACAATCACACGTTTAATACATGAAAGCAAAGAAAGTCCCATCCTTTAGGATCGTCCAGTTTGAAAATCCATTCATAGATCAGTACTCATTCAGTCTAATGTTGCAGGAGTACAGCCACATTCTACCATGCTTTCCCACTCAGCTGCATAGGTCCTAGCTTCTTGAAATGACTTTGAAATCCTGGCATTTATTTACTGGTTTGTACAGGACACCTCCAGTAATCTGTATTTTCATATGGTCTTAGTATGTCCTGAATACTGAGTCCTGTAATGGAAATTGGCACTCCTGCTCTTTACTAACTCTACTGCTGAAACTCTCCATATGAGATGGTTTCTACCCAGGGAAAGAGGAGATTTTTAATGTATTAAATAAAAAGAGGCATCTGTGGGGAAAACAATAAAGCACAAATTAGGGCAAAATGTTGATACCCAGAATAATGTCTAGATGTTGCTCCTTCCTCTCTTTTCTCTTCTTTAGTATTTTGTGCACTGCATCGACTTTAGAATGATCTGTACAGCTAGCTACAACTTTGCCGAATTATGAGCACTAATAAATTTCAGTACAAGCAAAACGGAGGCACTGGAACCCTAAATTATATGTATGGTAATTCAATTATAATAATGCAAAGCATGTATTAAAGAAGGTTTTGAATTACAGGTTACATATCACTACTCTGTACTCAAAACACCTTTTAAGCTCTCTGCAAAAGGAAAAAGAAAAACATTCACAGAGGTCCTGAGGGACTCTGTAGCTCTTAAGCAGGTGCAAATGATGAAGCCTGGATTTGAATATAGACTAATTGCCTTCAAAACTTAATCTCTGAGACTCAGCCTGATATATGTTTTTGTAACATTCTGGGATCAACTCAGTTTTAAGTTTCTGAAAGTCCTACGTACTTTTCACTCATTATGTCAAAGAAGAAAACAGAAAGTGATCCTATGATAAAGAAATACTACAGTAATTTAATAACCTTTAGTCCATGAAATATGATTTTGCTTTGTTTATTGGACAATTGATGATTGAAATTTTTTAAAATGTCAATTTTTGGGTAGTTTATATTTTTATTGAAAATCCAAATAATATATTCTAATCTAATCATGGTTTCCCCTCCCCCATTTCTTCCCATATTCACACTCCCCTCCCTCCAAGAAACTCCACATATGTTTCCTATCTTAGTAGCATAGTGTCTTTCACTTTCACTAAACCATTTGGTGACATATAACCGAGTAAGTCAATCAATCAGTCAATCAATATATAAATGAATACAAGTAAAGGACAGGGAACAGACCTTTCCATTACAATGACAATTTTTCCATATATTAAATGAATACCAATTTCATGTGTTTTTTCACACAAAGCTACATAACAGAATGCTACTTCTATAACAGACATTATAACTCTGAGTAATAAGAAACTTCCATTAGTTAAGTACCTTTTTGAACTGGACACTATCCTACATGTATTTTCTAAAGACCTCAAAAGCATCAACTTTTCTTCATTCTCATTTCATCAATATGAACAATTAAGAGTTCAAGAAATAAAATGTCTGGTTACAGGTCATCATGTCAATAACTGCAGTGGCATACCACAATGAAAGAAAATAGGAGCCACAGTGCCCTACATGAGCATCTTTCCAACCTCTTAGAATCTTTGTGAGTTCCAACATTATACACGCCAATGCCTCATATTATAGTTATTAAATTACAACCCGTAAAGATAATCTAGGAAATATTCTATCCGTAAATGGTCAACATGAACCCAATCTAGTGTGCATCAGACAAAACATCTGGAAATTCCTGGTGTAAAAGGACCTCACAAATCTTTCTTTCTATTTCACTGGCCCTGTATCACCAATAAGTATTATATTGTGGACAGGAAAACCTCATAGGATCCAGACCTAGACAAAGAACTAAGGACTGCTGAAAGAGGAAATATTCATTGTTGCCAGGGAACTGTTCCCTGGTTGGTTATCAATATTCAAGTGGTCATCCCTGCAATCATATAAATAAGAACAAAATTAGATGAAGAGGTTATGTGTTTACATACACATGTACATGTTTGTGTGTGTGTGTTTGAATAATAATTAAAGAAAAAGAAGTCATGAACTTTAGGATAATGGAGTTCATGGAAAATGTGGGAGGGAGGAAAGACAAGGAGGGAAGTGATTTAATATTATTTTAGTTAAAAGTGAAAATATACCTAACATTTTTAAAGAAATAAGACAAATTATAACAGTAAATACTGTCATAATAGCAGAATAGTTTCTAATGGCATAGATGATAAAATATAAGGAGTCAGGATGGCTTCCTATGAAAGGAGAGTGGGGTAATATATTGAATAATAATAATTTGTAATTTGTGATTACCCATGAATTTAAAGCATGAGATGACTGAAAATAGAAACTACAATACACATTTAGTGAAGACTGAAGGAATGTAAAAAGAGGCAACAAAATAAAAAAGAGAAATAACGACTATGGGCATTTTTGGTGGCAGAACTAGGTTGATGTCTTTAGAACAGGGTATCCTGCTCCATGTCTCCCCTGATCTCCCAACATACTTTGATTCCCCATTCTCTAAATTTAACAAAAACATTCCTGAAATGTACTAATCATCATCTAATTTTTCTTATCTTTTGGTTTGTGTGCTGAGTCTTTCACAGTTGAACCATCTCTCCAGCCCTCGTTTTTCTCTGATGTGAGTCTCGGTTTCCCAGAAACCTCTCTTTTGCTACTCTAAATAGTTCTGCTGTTTGTTCTGTAATTGACATTGATACATACTCAGGCAATCAAGTCTTATCCCTGAGGAATCTGCAAAGTCTCCTCCAAGCTAACAGAACATGCATTAGGCATGTTTCTCCTGATGGGGAGAGAGAGAGAGAGAGAGAGAGAGAGAGAGAGAGAGAGAGAGAGAGAGAGAGAGAGAGAGAGAGAGAGAGAGAGGGAGAGGGAGAGGGAGAGGGAGAGGGAGAGGGAGAGGGAGAGGGAGAGGGACAGAGGGAGAGGGAGAGGGAGAGGGAGAGGGACAGAGGGAGAGGGAGAGAGACAGAGGGAGAGAGACAGAGGGAGAGAGACAGACGGAGATACAGAGGGAAAGAGATAGACACATTCAAACACATACGCACACCAAGGAAGATAGAAGATAGTTGATAGGTTTACATCCAAAAGGGCCTAGGTAGAGCAATAGTGGCCTTCCACACACTGGAGAGCTGAGAACATAGCTACTCAGCTCATGAAGCAGAGTGTTAAAAGCCTGAAAATTCCTTGAGATTCTCAGGATTGCATTGCCTATTGGAAGCTGAAGAAGCTGAAGTGTTTTAGTAGCCAGTGAATGTCTGGAGTAACCAAGACAGACTCATCAGCAAGGAGCCAAGGCAGCAGACATTACTACCTTTCCTCAGACTTCATATCCGGACCTGAAAGCACTGCCATTTCTCAGAGCAGATCTTCTCATCTCTGTCACGCTTCCTGGAAATGCCCTCACAGAGGTATGTCTTAACTGGTTCCAGGTGCAATCAAGTTGCTGATGAAGATTAACCATCACAGCACACTGACAGATATATGGGCTAGCATGAAATTCAGTGCAAATTAAAGAACCAGGGGATTCTCTGAGATTAATTATGAATTCATATTCTTAGTGCAAGTTTTATTCGAACTAGATGCTGTTAAAAATGTCTGTCGTGAGTCAACAGTGCAGAAAAAGATCACTTCAGTGGCTACAGACAGAATGCAGCCACAGCACATCTTGTTGAGGTGGGCGTCTTTATGCATTATTCTAGTTATTTTACCAGGCAGGAAGTAGCACAGAGAGAGGCTAAGTGACTTGCCCAAGGACAAAGAGTGAGTCAGATGCAGAGCTGGGAATGCAGCCCACTTTTTTCTGGTTCCCAGTGTACAGCTTTTCTCAGCAAGCCATAATGCCTTTCAGATGGATCAGTTCCTAAAATGTATTAAGTTGTTAAAAATTCAATATGGGTGCTACATTACTTTCCAACTAGCCCTCTCTTTCGATGCTTTACAGTACCTGTTACTAAAAGTTAGACAAATGATCAAAAAAAATAACCTCATGTCTTTTGTGGATTTTTTGACAATACCCCACTAAAATTGGTTATGTCTAAATATCTAAAATGATTCCAAGTCACTAAAGAATGAATCTGTACTTGGCTTTTAGAACTTCAAAACCCAAAGCACAATTTCAGAGTTAAGATAAGCTGGAAATGAATGTACAGGAATAAAACATCAGTGACCAGAAAGTTCAAAACCAAGCAACAAATGAACCCTACAATATTGTCTTCACTAGGGGAAGAAGAAACTAAGCGAGTATATACTGGGTGAAAGGCTTTTCAATAAGATTCTGGAAATCTGTTTTTATGCAAAACTACGGTTATTTCCATAGCTAGGATTCTGGTACTCACTTCATTGAGAATTCTGAACCATTACTGGAGCCGTCTTCTTTTACACAATTTGCTAGACACACATGGTGCCAACTAAACCGGAAATAGCATGTAAGCCAGATGCTAATGCTCCTGAGTCTTTCAAATATAGTTGTTGGGAACATCACCAGTTGATCCTGGTTCACTTACCAATGGAACCAAGACATACTGTTGGAATTTCTTTCTATGCAGCAAAATCTACACAGTCACATTACTGGGTCGTGATGGTCCAAAAGATAAAATCCATTTACTATGACTGCATGCACATGCCTGTTTACTCCCCACATATAAAACAGACATAGAATCACTGTACACTCACATTGTCACCTGCTTTGCAGCCGTCCTGTATGTAACCTGATTATATGACTGGGATGCTTCTCATCTATGGACACTCAGCAACTCAAGTACAGAGATTTTTATTTGAAGCCAATGTCCTTAGCTTATTGAGAAAACATCAACAAACAATAACTACCTATTGTATTCAGCTTTGATATTCTTCAACAACTTCAACTTCCTAAACAGTAAATGCTGGTCTCCTTAATGAGAATATTTTTCCCTAATCACACTAATTCAGAGTTTTAGTCATCTGCTATGCATAAATTAAATGTTCAAACTAAAGTGCTGAGCAGAATGTCTTCTTTCAGATCTTAAAAGCACAGGATCAGAACCTTGATCTTTACCCTTGCTGCTCTCAGCCTTTGACACTTAAGTGAGCACATCTAGCTAAACGTCTTTGTGATATTAAGGTTCTGTAAAGGTCTGGGGAAATGGAGGCCACTGAAATGGAGGCAGGGATAATAATACACGATGGCATTGCTGTATGAAATACATAATGGCATTCTTGTAAAAAAAGATAAACTACTAAAATGAATGAAAAAGACAGGATATGTTAAGCTGCCAGACGGGCCAATATGAATGATCTCTCAACATAAAAGCTGGAACGGTATGAACAAGAAAATAAATAATGGTGGGACTGGATTATAATAGAAACAGTTGAATCAACATAAGTTAATTTATACTTGTCAAAATAAATAGGGAAATATAGGAGGTTCTACGTGACAGAGCAATTTCAAAAAATGTAGAGAGAATGTGCAAGATGCACCTTACCTAGCTGTAATGTGGACAATGTAACATAGACCATGCTTCTGATGCTGTGACAAATGGAGGAGAGCACAGTTGTGTTTCAATTCTGTCAAGATCATGTCATCCCCACTAAATCATGTGAAAGGGTGGGCAAAACCAAATTGTGGGAAATTCTACCAATGTCTTAAGAGACTTCCTCAAATGAACACAGGACCTGAAAGCAAGCAGTGACAGAGAGATGAGAACAGACGTGGAAACAATGGAGTCATGTGTTACATCTGGATTTGATGTGAATACACGTTATAGTCATGATCTTACCTCTTAAGTTTGTGCTTGGTCACATGTTTTGTTCCAATACTGTATTTTTATTTCTATATGATACCATCAATACATAATAGATCAGTATTAGGAATAAAATATTTATAAAACCCCCACTTACCAAATTTATGCAAGCCTAATGTATTTCCAAAGAGAAAAGGTACTCTTTAAATTTTACTGGGCTATTTCAATATGATATACAGCCATGCAATCCAAGACACTGTTTCACGTAGAGTTGTACCGTGTGAAATCTCAGCATTCCCAAGGGCAGAAAAGATGAGACAGTTATCCATGTGATCTGTTTGTGCTGAAGCACAACTATGTGCTGTCTTTATTTTGTAGTATAGCCTTTTCTTCTGACCCTTTGGCTCTTTCTTTTTATCCTCTCTGATTTTTAACAATGATCTACATATGACAAAGAAACATCATGCTCAATCATTTAGCCCCTGAAGTGCAGCAGCTACATCCTCCCCCAATCTGACATCCCCTCCTCATTGCTAGTATACTTGCTTCTTAGATGACTCTCATTGCTTTGTTCTGAAGTCATATTGGGGTATAGTATCGTAAGTTCCCTCTGGATGGTTTAGAACATTTTTTCCTCCCACTGTCTCTCTCTTTGCTCTCCTTTATGTCCAGCAGGGAGAAGCAGCTGTGAATCAAGAGCATGAGGTTAGTACTCAACTTCATTCTGTGTGTGTAAGTATTTTAAAATGTTGTTGTGTGTATGCACATGCATGCAGGTATACATGCTGGTGTTTGTACTGGTGCGGATGTAAGTGATCAATATTGATGTCTTCCTTGATTACTCTCCATCTTATTGTTCGAGATACAGTCTCCAAACATGAGTGTACTTATACACCTAAACTGGATTGGCAGTCATCACACCCAGATTCCCAGATTTTCTAAAGGAGTTAGGCAACCCTTACTGACTGGGCCATCTTCTCAAAATGTCTTCTTTTATATTCATCTTGCTAAACCCATGCCCTACAACAGTAACACTCTCATCTCAACACATTATTCTGGGCTCTGGAGCAGCATTTTCTTTATGGCTCAGTCCAGCACTTTGTTCTCTAATGCTGAGGACCTGCAGATGATCACAGCCTGTCTGTCTCAGCATTGACTCCACCACTGTTCCCCTTTGCCACAGGCAGTTTTATTTGGAGGAGTGTATAACATTGAACGTTATCGTCATGAGCAATATTTAAAACATAGGTACTTACCTATCTTTAAACATCCAAAATCACAACCTCACTTTAAATATCCAAAGGTCTGGACCCTCTGGCGGCTGTAGTCTTACTAGCTGCTGCTTTGCATTATTAGGTGCCATTTCCTGTGTACACATTACCCACAGCACCTTCGGGCCAGAAATCTGTTTGTAAAGCACATCTAATATGCCCTTTAATATGTAAAGGTCACTAAATAGGTCAAGTGCAGTTACTTCAGATGAGATCAGCCTTTACCTCTAAGTCTGGAGTTCTCTTTAGCCACACCTAAATTATTTCCCTCTTCGAAAATATCCATGGAATTCTGTCAATCATTTTCTGTTGCCTGCCGATGGGTAGGAGCATTTGAACAACTTCTTCAGGTCCCCATGAGATCTTATTCTTTTTAGAAAATACTATTATTCTTCTTAGAGATGAAGTTCCGTTAGCATGAGTATCAGTTCTCAAGCCATGTCTGTGACATTTTCATAGAGACACTGCTCTGATTTTCACATGAAAGACCCTTCATAAACATCATTAGCATACACAAAAATCTTTGTGAAATTTTTGAGTAGATTCCCTGTCTGGAAACTTACTTTTGACTTAAGGAACTTCTTTATTACCTCTAGATTTACTGGATTTCTTACCAACTAAGCTGTTATCTGGATGTACTTTGTCATTCTCCTTGGCTCCATATAACCATGTTAAGCTCTACTCCAAGACAGCATAGTATTCCTACCCAGATGACCCCCCCTTTTTATCTGAGCATATAGTCACTATTTTTTCTTGCCTAAAATGTAAACAAGATCTTTTCACTCACTTTTAATCTTGTTTTTACAATGCTCTCCTTACAAAAGAAATAAAGCCCTCAGCAGACCTCCATTTGGTGTGAGAGTTCTAGTCCATGAACATAAATTATACCTCATACTCAGAAGCATACAAGAGACCCTTCTTCCTGCTGTTTTCAGTTCCTCAGGTTAATTTATTTCCAAACTTTTTGGCATCTCTCTGCTGAAGTACATAGCAGACAGATTTACAGTGAGCCCCAAATTAAATATTAATGCAAAATCTCCCAGCCTCAAATTTCATTTGGTTCAGTCACTTTAAAACTTAATAAAATTTTGCTATATACTTCACATTTAACTTATTTCAAGGCATGGTGTTGATTTTAGTACTGAACTTTCAGATCCAAATTATAAAAGAGGTTTCTGACAACATGAATGAAAAATGAACTGAACTTAAAATGTCTACTAAACTCACATGTACATACTTTGCACAGCAAAGAAATTGGTTGAGATCTTTCACTTCAATATTTTATGTATGAATTCCTAAAACTTTATCTTCTTGGGTTTGTATCACTTCATCTCAATGTACAGCAGTCTACTTAGTGGATGTTTTCTGTAAGTCCAGACACAGAACAGCTGAAAACCATGCCTGTGCACATGTATTTACACATCATCACTCACAAAGTCTGGAAGCACTTCCAGATTGATTTTTCCTATAATGATCTTACTCCTTCATATATGTAAATGGCATAAAAGAGTTGAGTTTTCACAGTGAGCTGCTTTTCTGGTTCTCTATTCAGGTGATCTCTATGTTCTAAAAGAAATAATTGAGCAAAATATTTTGAGCACTAGGCTGATATTATGGTAGTATTCTGGATTGCATATTTTCACTTAAATATTTAAAAGGAAAAAGGAACCTCATCTTTTGATCAAGGTAGAGAATAGGAGAGATGTGTGTGTGTGTGTGTGTGTGTGTGTGTGTGTGTGTGTGTGAGAGAGAGAGGGGGGGAGAGGGAGGGAAAGAGAGAATATGAATGATGATACAAAGGAGCAAAAGCAAACTTGCAGGACATAACTCCCAAAACCAAAACCCCCAAACAATCTTCAATACATTAGGACCTGGTATAACTCAATCAGCTTAACAGGAACAGCAACATGTTCAAACAACTGCATTCATTCTTTATTACAGACCATCATGGTGTGAAGCTTTCCAGTAACATTCAGAACGTCAGTATGCCTTCTCTTCAGGCTCCTCTTACATCCTCTTTCCTGTGTAACTTCAACAAGAGCCACGAAAACCTGAGGTGTGTGTTCTGGTGCCACAAAAGTTTCCCTTGAAAATCCAGAGTTTCACATCTGCTTAATTGGTGTGTCTCTTGCTTGTGCCGGCTCCAGTCTTCACAAACCACATCAAATATATTAGGCTCCACACAAAGATAAGCTTAGGGAGAAACCCCATGAGTTCTGATGGACCAAGTAGCACTTCAGTTCATCATAAATTCTAGTGCCAGACTTTCATTCTGGAAGATGGCTAAACATTTGCTATCAGTACCTCTCTTCTAAAAACTTTGGAATTAAAAAAAAAATTCTCACAGAGTTAGATGAGTGCAGTGAGTAATGGCTGTGTTACAATTTCTTCCCTTTGCTAACCTAATAGAATATTCATAAGCAGGAACATGACTGTCAGTTGAAATTCTTCTCAATCATGTAAAGGTTTAAGGTACAATTGAATAGGAGCTCTCTGCTGAAAACACGGAAGATTTCTTCACGAATAAAACATAAATGAGTCTCCATGGGCCAATTCCTCCTCCTTTTGCTCTTACAATGGTTAAATTGGTAGAAATAGCAAAAGATAATTGCTGCATATTTACTAATACTTAGAACATTCTTTTTTTTTGGTTTTTACGTGACAGGGTTTCTCTGTATTGTTTTCGAGGCTGTCGGTCCAGCCCAGCCTCGAACTCATAGAGATCCACCTGCCTCTGCCTTCCGAGTGCTGGAATTAAAGGCCCGGCTACTTAGAACATTCTTAATGTTCCTAAATGCATTGTTTTAAACAACCCACAAATGAGTCCCAGATATATAAAAGGAGGAAGAGGGACACTGGTATTAGATGTTCTGAAATATAAGTATAAAGATTTATTAAGAAAAAACATGTTACAGGATCAAACACAATCATTTGGAGTCATGTACTGTGGTGAGTTAAAACGTGTGCAAGTCAAAGAAAGTCATTCCAAAGTAGAATGCATCTATCCCTAAACAACTTATACTAGGTGTTCTGTTGTTTACAATATCCATCTTTACTTCTAAAAACTAAGTACAAGCACTTTGCTTCATGCTTCATCTTCCTACGTATTGAGTAGCAAGGATTTCATTATTGCAGAAAATTTGCTTAAAAATGTCCATCTTCTGTATTGAGGTAAATCTTCCAGTGGAGGGACTGGGAAACTAACCCAGCCATAAAACATTCAAGCTACAGTTTTCCCTTCTTGCAATATGTGCTGGAATACGGGGGAGAGGGAGGAAAAAGAGAGGGGGACAAGAGGAAGGGAGAGGAGGACATGGGGGAGCAGGAAGGTTGAAATTGGGGAAGAAGAGAGGAAAGCAGGATGAGAGATAACACAATAGAGAGAGTCATTCTAGTTTTGAGGGGAGATCTGATACTAGTGAGATTTCCAGAGATCTATAAGGATGACAACAACTGGCAAACTAAGCAATAGTGGAGAAACTACCTTAAATGCTCCTCCCTGAAAATGATTCTGATGACTATCATATATCATTCAGAACTTCCATCCTGTGACAGACGGAAGCAAAGACAGACACCCACAGCTAAACACTGAACTGAACTCTTGAAACCCAGTGACAGAGAGGGAGGAGTGATGAGCAAAGGGGTCAAGACTGGGCTGGTGAAACCCAGAGAAATAACTGACTTGAGCAAGTGGGAGATCTTGGACCCCAGACTGATGGCTGAGAGGTCAGCATGAAACTGATCCAGATCTCCTGAATGTGGGTGTCAGTGAGGAGGCCTAGGCAATCTATGGGGCTTTAGGGACTTTGGGTGCCCATCCCACAATGAGGGATTCTCTCTCAATCTGGACACTTGGAGGAGGGGATAGGCCCTCTCAGGAACAAAATGACAGACTCTAGAGACCCCCATGGAGGTCCTTATCCTCTCTGAGGAACCGAGTGGGGATTGGGTTGGGGACTTAGAAGGCTGGTGGGGGGAGTGAGCATGGAGGGGAGGGAGAGGGAGCTGGGACTGTGAAGCAAGCTTGCTTCTAATTTAAATATATAATAACAAAAGCAAAAAACAAAAGTTGTGCTGGAGTACAAGTGAGACAGCACTTGTGGGAGTGCCCAACAAATAACTGGTTCAACTTTGACCCACTCCCTGAAAGGAAGCCCACACTTTACACTGCCTGAATGGCCAGTAGCCAGAGGCTGTATAACCCACAGACCTAAGATAGAACCAAACAGGACTGGCAAGAAGACATAAGTTAATGAATCAGCCAAACATCAGAGCTCTGACAGTCCTTCAGAAGGGCAGCAGGAAGGAAGATTATAGGAGCCAGAGAGGTCAAGAATTCCACAAGAACGTGGCCCACAGAATCAATTCACAGGGTTTCATGGTGGCTCACAGAAACTGAAGACACAATTAGTGGGCCTGTCTGGATCATCTGCATATATCTCTTGGTTGTGTAGCTTGGTGTTCTTGTAGGAGTCCTAACAGTGGGAGCTGAGGCTGTGTCTGATTCTTTCACCTGCTTTTGGGACTCTTTTCCTTATACTGGGATGCCTTGTCCGGCCATGATATGAAGAATATGGCTAGTCTTATTGTAATTTGTTATGCCATGTTCAGTTGATATCCCCGAGAGGCCTGATCTTTTCTGAAGGGCAATGGAGGAAGAGGGGATCTAGGGGGAGGGGAATTGGAGGAAAGGATTGGAGGAGAGGAAGGAGGGGAAGTTGCAGTCTGATGTAATATATGATAAATGAATAAATAAATAACAAATTAAAATTAAATAAATGGTTTCAAATTCTATTCCATCTTGATCTCATCTCACTATTAGTTTCTTTTCAAACCAACACCATCTTCCCAGGACAGTTTCAATGAGTCTTTAACTCTGTTACTTCTCTTCTTTGTGTAGCAGAAAACATAATCTAGCAAAGTAAGTTCTTATTGTCTTCTCTGAATGAAGAACTAATTGCTACTTATTCCAATCAGGAATAAATCCACACCCATCCCCTTTATTGACATTGAGCTAGCTGACTTAATCTGATTCCCCTACACTACTAAAGACATATAGTCTGTGCCAGACATGCAAGCCTTCTCTCAGTCTCTAAAGGTGAGTTAATTATGGTTTCAAGGTTTACATGAAAATTTTCTTTCTCCACTTCTGAAGATAGTCCCCTTTGTCATTTGTTTGTAGCAGGCATATCAACTTTCTCAACGGATTTCTATGTTATAAACAGCAAAGCATTTCTCTCAATCACTTCATACTATTTTTCTATCTTTGTAACATGATTGCTATATATTTCCTAGGTAGAATGCTTTTTATTGAATGAGTTAGTAAGTAAATAAAGGACCATAAATCCTTTGAATTGTTTTTGGAATCATTATGTATGCAAAGGGGAAAAACCAGTAAATATTGTGCTACAGATTTCTTACGACTAGCAACTTACATGGTGCTAATGCTATAGTTAACAATAGTAATAATGAATTTATTTTATCCTATACAGGATACATTATGTTTTTACAAATATTATTTTTGTATCATTGGGAAAGAAACTAGGAACTGGCAATGTTTCTCTTTGTATAGAGGGTTTGACAGAATTCTCTAATATTTGCTGAATATTAACAAAGGCACCTTGGTTAAAACACAGGTAAAAAAATAAATGCCCTGCCCCCCCTTTTTTGTTTTGTATTCTCATGCTAATGGAAGCAGGAAAAGGAGCTGAAAGAAAGCTAACATAAGTTATTGCTCTCCCGATTCACTTCAAAATATCTGGCAGAACTATTTACCTAATAAAAATTAAAATATAACAAAGAAAAATATCAGAGTTCTAAAATATACTTGTTTTTTAATTTCATATTCAAGAAGTTACCACAATTAACTTGAGTATACCATTGAACATCCACCCTATCAGTATTATGCAGATGATCACATAGCTTTTGTAATTATGACAGTAAAATGGCTTCTAAAAATTTCTTGATTTCTGTCTGTAATGCCATGCATTTGCCATCTTCAAAGTATGGATGATGAGTGATCACAATCCATAATGCCTTTTCCTCAATAAAGAAAGGGTCTGCTGAGCTCATGCAATTATCACTGCATTTTCAGAAATAATGTATGAGAAGAGTGCCTTAAAATTAATAGAGATGAATAAAGTAGAATATTTTTATTGAAGCATAATTAGTATACCACTAGAAAGTTTGGGAAATGTGTAGAATATTTCAGATATCTTAAAATCCCAGATTAAAATTTTATAAAACAATAGTTTGTAAAAAGTTTGAGATTACTTACTGCCCCAAATATCAGATCTATGTTGGTATAACCAAAATTTTCAATGTGAAAGTTCTTTCTCAGAATCTTTGTCCTTTCTATCCTTAAACATCATAATTCCTAAGGAAAAGAGAACATTCTAAATACAATTATGTTTTCAGCACTATACCTATGGTTTTTCTGTTTTATAAATATCTTTAAAATACCCTCAGAACCCTCACAGCATCCACACTAAGTTTCATTTCTCTTCTTCTGGCTCCTACTCACATCTTCAGTTCTCTTTTCTCATTTTAAGAAGAAAAGGATACGATGACAAATTGTCATTAAAGAAAAACTCAGCGGTAGAAAATTTCTTAAGGAATTATGCATTCATATTTCTAAAGTTAAGCTGTCTTGAAGCTTGAAGGATGGAAATGCTACATGGAAAGTTAGGAAGAACAGTCCTATTGATGGTAAGAACAAAACAAGACGCGAACTGTGGAACCTTGATCTTACCTAAAGAAGAGACGCATTTTTTCCACTAAAATGAGGTCAGTCTTCAACAATACCTGTCTTTGGTCTGAAGGCTAAGCCAGGCAGGACAATGAAGTGCATGCAACTCAGGAAATAGATGTCTGGCTGTTAATAAGAATGCACTTTGAGATAAAATGTAGCATATGTAGTTTAGCAAGTCAATATGCCCTATCTTCTCCCAAAAGTTTTTATTTCTTTTCCTTAAAGTTAGAAGAAGCTTAATATGAAACTGTTCTTTCTCAATACACCTACAAAGGGACTTTCATATTTTCCAAACAATATCAATATATCATTATCTATCTGCTGATAAAAAATTTCTAAATATGAGTACATTTATCCTAATCCAAGAATAAAAAGAGTAAACAAAAGAACCAATGTTAAGAGTGAATTAATTGGAATGACTGGTTTTCTATAAGAGAAATATCTCTGGAAAATATTACTTATTTAGACACAGTTCTGGAAAAGTTGAGAGAAAATCCCAGATGTTGACAAAGTATCATTATTGGACAACTGGATCTATCTATCTGGACTCTTATATAGTATTTTTAATTCTAATTTAGGATAAAGTTAATTCCATCAATTGGTTTACCCAGGAAACTCAATCAAATTAATTGTATTTAGACTGTCTAAACCAATAGGGTGAAAAGAAAGAGAAAGAAGGAAGGATGTGTGGAAAACAGAGGTTTAGTAGGAAAGAGAAAGAGGAGGAAGAGGAGAAATGGAGAATTGTATTTTCTGAATATTGCTAATTCAGAGCCCTGCAATAAATAATACATATTTTCTGACTTGGCCATGTAGCAGGGGAGATAAAGGAGGCTACCAAGTCATTTATTAGGGAAAATATAGCTCTAAAGTTGTACAGGCAATTCGTGGAAGAAAATCTTCAATAGAAGAAAGTATGTACATTTTTCATCTGATGCATGATGGGATCTTCTGGAGGGTTCAGTTCTCCTTCTTTGTTTGATATGGAGGGTTCAGTTGGTGAAATCTCTGTGTTGCTTAAATAGAAGATTATATAAGATTGAAAACAGTGACTTGATGATATTATGAGCATGATACAACTTAAAAGCGATTTAGGTAAATATAAATTGACACACATAGGACTTGGCAAATATTAATTTTAATAAATAAATTATACAGATGTTTCTGTATTTGGTATTGTTCAATATTTACCTATTAGGATATTTTCCCCAGACTGGGAGGTACCAGTTTAATTTCTATGCCTCTGGGTTAAATGTGAATTATAAATTTACATAATAGTAGAAGCAGAGAAAAGTGTTCCTTCGCACTTTCAGTATTAGCTGGTTATATTACTTTTGTCTCCCTTCTAAAAAGTGAGGAAAAAAAACCTTTGAATTTGACTTGTCCGTGCACTGTGGTGCATACATTTAATTTGTCATTAATCTCAGATTAAATGTGGCAAATTAGATATCTGCTGTAAACTTTAAGAAAATGCTTTCGTGTAAAACCTAATAGTTTTCTGACACATACACAGCCAATAGTGCATTCTGGCTTACTTATTCTGAGATCTTGATTTTGCTTGAACTCATTGCCACTATCCTAGTCACTGAAAACCATCTGAGTGGCAAGTTTTTGAGGCTTTTTCACAGGCAATTGCTTAGGGCTGGGTGGGGATCAGTGGGAGCTCAGGTTCAACATGCATGAGACACTGGCTTCAGTCCCTGCACTGAAAAAAAAGCTGAAACGGGGCAAAAGCACTTTGACACTAGTGTCTCCCACTTTCGGATTGTGTGAAAACAAAATATTAGCCATATGGAAACTCATTAGAGTACTGCTTGCTTCAGGTCAAGAAATATTACAACAGTTTTTCATTTTGAATTTTTATTTTTGTTTCTCAGGAAGGCACTAATCACAGACCTAGACATTTTATCTGCAGTCATAAAAAATAAAGAAACTTCAGTTTAGCAAATAGAATCTGTAATTTTAAGGCCATAATGGTATTTTATGGTCTTTTCATCAAAGTTGTCATTTTAAGAAAGATACGTAAATCCGAATTTCACATTTGGATAGAATCTACTTGCTATTGCATTGGTTTGACTAATGACATCATGTTGGTACAAGCATGTTCAGCGTTTAGTATTAATTCTACTTTCTCTCAATGTATCTATCTGGAATGAAGACAAGTGTTTCCTCTGTACAAGAATTGTTTTGACAGACAGGCATAGAAGAGAGAGCAATCTATCCTTGTGTCTGACTGCAGCTTTTTCCCACACAGATTCCCTGTAACCAGGAAAGAGTTGACAATGGCAATGTAGTTCATGTAAGACATAACAATTAGCTTCAGAAACAAACCCAGTGATATTATTAGGATAAAGGTCATATTACAGCATGTAGAAGAGAGAAAATGTGGAGGTCCTGAAGCATGGAATTTCCTTTCAAAAACCAATTTGTGTTCACTGCCAATAGTTTCAAATGGATCTTATCTTTATGATTTGGCATAGGCTCTGACAAGAAATCAGCAGTCACTAACAAGTAATGAATACTATGTATCCAATATAGATGCACAAGAAATATTTGTATATCTTTGCCTTTAGCAACAAGTAGCACTTTTTAAGGGCCATTTCATCCCTAAGAATGCACTAATGATATCATCCAGAAGCAACCATAAGATTCTTTTCACATTTATTTTAAAACAACTCCAATATTATTAACTCCAGAGTAGTTAGAAATTCAGTTTTCTGGAATAGTTTCATGCATTCTCCATTATTATAGATGTAAGTACAAACAGGGTAAAATTGGTGTAAAGTGCTTAAATTCTTTCTAGACTGCAAATATTTTCATAGGCTGTTTATTATTAAATTAAAAGAAAAAGTATGCAAGAAATTGCTTTTTTAACTTAGGATAATGTCTCCTTCAATCAGCACATTTTTCCCTTCTGCTGTTTTTATATAATTACTGCTCTAACGCATTTACATTTTTCTTTTGTATTCTATTTTAAATTTACATTTAGAAGTTGGGAGGAAACTGAGTCAAAGTTTAAAGACTTCTTCAGAACAAAAACTGAACATTTTATCAAATGAGATACGAATTGCACAGACATGTGAGTTGCAGTACATTCTTCAAGAGAAAGAAGATGAAAACTGCAGCATAAATAGTTGCTGCCTTTTAATGGTTTTAAGCAGACACAAGAAGAGGACAGAAGCAGCATGAACACTAATTATTTGGAAATATGTTTTCACATCTTAGCAGTCTCAAGGTTTTTAACTTGCCTTGGCTCTCCCACCTCCCTGTCTTTTCAGAAAATTTGACAATTTGAAGCATGCTTCCTTTTAAGTCTTAATCATTATCAAGCAATTCTTTGATTGCTATGGCATCGTTAAATGACAAATTAGTGGATTCTGAATGATTCTGACTTATCCTCCTTTTGGCTGTTAGGAGCTATAAAGACATTTCTTATTTCAGATACAATAAAATCTAATAAGAACTGGCATACACATTATTCTGACACTATAAAAATCAATATAAACCAGGCAAACCATATGTAATTGAAGGACAGGTAGATGCATATGAATTGAACACTAAACACACAAACGAGGTTCAAGTATGCTTTTTCCCATTTCTATTGTTGTTTTGCTTTTTAGCTACTAAAAGAGCTTAGCTTCTGCTAACAAACTTCACAGGGATGCTAAAAGTAGAAAAGAACACCAGCACTCCCTCCCCCCCCCCTAGAATTAGAAGCTGCCTTTACCTCTAAGTATCTGGAGAACCCAGATATGGTTTCCCACTTCAAGACATGAAGCTCCCCCTTACACTACTAACTCACCACTATTTTCACACATATATTCTCTTCTTCAAGGATCATTGCTACTGCCACAAGCCTGAAGGCAGCTACATCTCATTAACCTTGTTCTTGGGTTATATGCCATGTCTTCACTGTCAGCATCTCAGTGGGGGTCATCTGTCATAATGCAGCTACACTCTCATTTTAAACATTTACCAAGACTCTCCATCCCTCCCTCAAATCCTGCACTCTTTCTCCCCTTCTTAAAAACATATGAGGACCACTCTTGCAGTTTTCATAGCTAGTTGTCGCAGTTTTTAACTGTTTTCTAAGTTTTGAGCGTTTGATTAGATGCGATAGAACTCAGTTAAGTATTGATCTGCAGCTATATATGCTTGCACTCTACGACAAAGTACTTGTGATATTTTTTCAGCTGATAATTAGCATTCAATGAAGTCATCACAACTAACAATTATTTTCCATGTAACCTTAGATGCCTTAGATGTTCTCTCTCTTTTCTGGAACTGAATACCATTCTTTAAGGTAAGTTCTTATTTCTTGAGAAAACTGATTTATATTTTTTTGAATTGTGCACAAACTTCTCTCAAGATGTCCAGTCACTCCTCTCAGGTAACAGCAGCAGTATGCTACAGAAATACACAAAGCACTAAGGCAGGGATGAGGTCAGACATCGGGCTGTGTATGTGTGTGAGGGGGGGGTGTATTCTTTCACAGGGAACTCAGGACCAACAGTCTGCCTGTAGCCTGCTTTGCCAGCATACTGGGCCAGAAGCTGTACCTTCTCCTGTGCTTAAGCCCAACTTCAAACGTTTTTGCTTAAGGAAGGTTGAGGAGCGACTGTGGCAGATCAAAGCCACTGTCATTTCAAGTGAGAGCCACATGCTTCCATTTTATGTGCCCTGTTTTCAACTCTTCCACAGCAACTTCAAGGCAACTTAAGCAAGTTCAGAATCTTTATGGTTTGGCAGCAGTGCACCAGGAAGCTTACCAGTGCCACTCCTAGAAATGGCATGGATGAGCCTGCCATAGGACTAGGGACTGGTGGCCAAGAGTAGGCTAAATAGGACCATGACAACCCATCCGGTGCTGTCCTATAATGACACTAGGTCGTACTCAATTCATAATTCTTTTTACCTAAACCGACTGAATCTTACAATGCAAGACCTTGGCTATTTGCTTGCCATTGACATCTGTGTGCTTGTGGTTTAAAATTTTTGCTTGTTTCCTCTTTCCTAATTAAGTTAAAGCGCTGAATTGTAGAGTCGTTGTGAGCTCAGTTCAGAATTTATGATACTTCTAATTTTCCTTTAAGGAATTAACCCTTCCTAACCCGGTGGCAATGTACAAATGTTCCTTTGCTGTGTTTTTTCCCTTTTCCCGTTTCAACTCACATATCCCAGTCAATGACAGTAACACTAAAAAAACAATTGCGGGATTCCAGGTCAAAAGTTTCACAAGCTTGGTGAATAATGTCTACCTTCTCTTTGGACTCCCCATAACCTTTCCCCTCTGAACTTCTAACCATTCCTAGCTGCTTGATGAAAAGCAATAGCAAAGTGCTATTTTGGATAGAGTCAGGCTCTTCACTTGATAAGGCTATCAATGTACCCTGGTGCTGGGTTACAGACCTTCCATGTCAGAAAAGGCAAGTTCAAGCAGGTGTATGCTCTCAGAAAAGCCCTGAGGGCTTCTCTGCTGGGTGCCCAAGCCAAGTCAGCCCTGCAAAAGGCCACAGAGACACCCGGCACCCGGGGAGGCAGGGAGGAGCTCTGACACTTCTCCCCAGATGCACAGCTGAGGAAGTAAACCAGGAGCTAAGTTGGGAGAGTAATTGTCTATGGCGGAGAATCATGAGGATAAAGCTCTCAGCTGAGTGCCAGCACCAAAGGGAGTCTCAAAGAAATGCGAATTCTAATCCAACATCTGCAGCACTTGGGATGCCCGGGGTAGAAGCCATAGCCAAGACCAAACGCTCCCCCCACCACTGGAGGGGGGGCGACAAACAAAACCAGGACATGAAAATGACCAAGGGTAAAATGTGGGGGTGCGGAACACTCTGGCACCTAGTTTACAAACCCTCCAGTTATCTCTCTCCCCCCCAGGAGGCTAGCGCACTGTGGCCAGCGGGTCCCGGGAGCGGGGTTGCCAAGGACTTAAGTTTCACACTCAGTTGTCTGCCAGCATCACCCATTAGGAAAGCCAAGGGAGGGAACAGGGAAAGGGGGCAGGGGGTGGTGGTGGTGTTGTGGTCCTTACCTTGTTCGGCTCCCACTGTCAGAACCTTGGCGTTAGGCAATAATCCCGAGAGAGTGAGGATGGCGAGAAGCAATTGGGACATGGTGATCTTCCCGGTGAGCCTGTGCTGCAGACTGCTCGGCGGCACCCTCGGCCCGGTCGCAGCCGCTGGCAGCCTGGAACAGAGCCGCGTCATTTACAAATGTCACTGGAAATCCCTGGGTCGGTGGGTCCAGCCAGTCCGCCTTGCTCTGCCAGGAGCAGGATGTGGAAGGTGTGCGGAAGCGCGCCTGCGGAGAGCGTGCGAGCGCCAGCCAGGCGCTGTATGTCTGGACTTTTCGATGCAGGGGTACGTCTGATCTTACATCACGCAAGAGGGGCAGAGAGATGCCCGCCGATGGGAATTCACTATTAATCACTGAGGCCTCCACACACCCCTCAGTCTCCCACAGAAATCACATCTATTACTAGTAAGAGGCAGTTAACAAGACAGGGAAACAGCCGCAAATGAGAATGCCACAAATCACTGCTCTTTCAGCCTCCTTGAAGAGAAAGTAACTCCTCGTTGTTTCTGTAGGGATCTGGGTCCTTAGAGAAGGGGGAACTGCAGTGGGCCAAGCCAGCCAGGCGCCAGAAAGCATCACCAGCCAGCTAAGAAGTCCCTGCACTTGCTCTTGCTCTTGCCCTGAGCGAGCAGGCAGCTTCTCTGGCAAAAAGGTTCTGATGCCTGGTCTGCAAGGAAGCTTCCTTTCCGGGAAGCCAACACAAGCCAGGACCTTGTTTCTTTTAGGGAAATGGTTTCCTCACTTAACAGCATGCAGAGCTTTCTCAACTGCACTAGTAACTTTTATGCTGAGTGGCACCTGGGGACAGAGGTGCAAAATTAGTGACTCAGCAGAAAAAAAACAAAACTCCCAGAGTCACTAACAACCACACACACACACACACACACACACACACACACACACACACACACACACACGCACACACACACAGAGTGCAAACAGGCATCCAGGTCCCCAAATAGGCATACTAAGCCAGGGATTGCCAATGGGTTTTGCCTGAAATATCTGTTTGGAGGGATACCTCGAGTCATTTTAAGCTTTTGAGGTGACTTTTGTGGATTTTATTTGCTATATTGCACTGAAAATCTGAGAACTTTCTGAAGTCATGAGATGTATCAAAATGAGTCTGTGGAACATTTATGCACATAGGTATGTGAGTGTAGATACGATACACAGTTTATGTTTTTGTGATCACTTAAGAATCACAATGCTAATTCCAGTATTTAGATATAATCCACCGTTCAGAAATGACTGCTGGGCTAAAACTCCAGTATTTAAGAGTTGATAGCTGACTTTCTTCTTAGTAATGCCAGTTATTGTTTTCTTACAAAAAGTATCTTACACTTTAAAATTTTAAAACCAGATGCCATGCCCTAAATCCCAACAATAGAGGCAAGAGCAGGTAGATTTCTGGTGGAGTTCTAAGACAGCCAGGGCTACACAGAGAAACCTTGTCTTAAGAAAACCAAATGCAGAGAAAACTGCCAGAACAAAAAATATGTCAAAGGATACTAAGAGGAGGAACAATATTTTAAAGACTCCATGCATTGCCAGGCTTGAAGCTTATTCATGAATAGAAGAAATAGTTCCTAGAAATGACCAGGAAAGTCTTGAGAGCTATCTTGGAGCAGTCTACAATAGAAGCCATTAAGATTAAACTGAACCAAAGTGCATAAAGGAAACTTTGGAATACAATGCCAGGCATCTGCAAGATAGGCCTTTTGATACTTACTCTGATCATATGTGTACCTTTTATGCCACATTTTTCATATTGAGAAGTCTTACTTTTACATTGCCTTGTGAACATACTTATTCAGGACACATTATATATAATGTTTGCAAGTATATGATTTCTTTCATCTAGTTGTTACACACACTATTCCTTAGATTTTTTCTCAGTTTCATAATACTATGCACCAAATAGGAAGATTTCCTATAAAAATTTCACAATCAGGAATAAATGATGAAGTTGGAAAGAATGGTAAATGTGAATGCAAAGCAATGTGTGTTTCTGGAGGGTCCATGCAACATCTGCAGTCTGTGGAACCATCCAATGGGATAGACTGTGTATATGTCTTTCCTATAAAATCACACTTAGACAACTATGATATAAGCTATTATGAAATTTACACCCTGTAGGGGGGATGTCCCAAGATCCATGCTGAAGACTTCAGATTATTTTTATTTCACACTGCTCTATGCAGTTGCCCTTCGTGTAGACAAGGTGACAGAGGCAGTCAGTGTGAGACCCCACAGACTCTTGATGGGCAACTGTTCTTCAGCCTCTGCAGCACCAAGCAACGTTGGAGGCTTGAAAAGGGAAATCTGGGAAAGGCAGTCAGTGCGAAGAAAGCCCAGGAGGTGCTGAGGTTTCGAGGTGATTCACTCCATGCAGGCGGTATCCAGGAGAATGAGCCTAAAAATGCAACAACGTAGTCTGTCTCAGACCATTTGCCTACTTTTTTTCCTTCCTTAAATGAAAGAAATTGAAACTGCACTGCCCAACCATAGAATAGTAAAGCAAAACAAGAATCTTTAAAACAATAAAAAATTCAAACCATCAATTGTGAATAACACATGACTCAAATTAGTTCTGCAAACCAAGACAACATATTCTGAAGTTTAGGTGTAAGGGGCAGTGTGCTTGCTGGTGCAGGGTAACTGGCTGTATTTGATTTCTACCATGATTGTGTTTCCACTAAGCATTAATGTGAATTCAAGTGGAGACATTTCAGTGTAAGACAGTAAGTAGATGTGATTCCTACAGGCACAAGTATAAGAAAAACTTCCTCTAGCAGATTGGCATGAGCATACGAATATTGTACAGGTCCCTGCTAAGTGAACAGACACCTGCACTGAAATGCTTCCTTGTAGTGGATATTTAGAAAGGTGGTTTAGACTCATGGCCCAGTTAATGCATATGATCAGTTCATCCAGATACATAATAAACAGACTAAATGGGAAACAGTGGGATTTCATTGCATCAGAAAGTTAAATAAAGTCAGTTCTGAAATGACATGGGAGGAAATTGCCTACCTCACATCAGATCACTTAAATAAAGTGGTTCTTCCCAACATTTATACAAAATAACCAATTTATCACAAGAGATGGTTATTATGAGCTCTTCTGCAGTTCACAGATGTCTAGAAAAAAGATTATCTTAAATTAAATAATGAATTCATAGGTTTTAAGCAGTCATCTAATTTAATAGATTATAAGTATAAAAGAGACATAAACATAATTTTCTATAAATACGTTGGTTTCTCCATGATATATGCTATCATGGAAAAGAACATTAATAAAATACGTTATTAGTAAAAAAGAGAGAGAGAGAGAGAGAGTAAAAGCTAGTTACTATTTTTGTTTTTATGGTCCATTATAATTTCATTGTAATCAGTTATGAACACTGACTAGTCATACAGATTTCCCTCAAGCTATGGGATATAATACACTTTATCAATGAGACAAATTAAAATAAAGCCAATCACTCTTTCTTTATGATTTATGACAATAAGTGAATATTGACAGACAGTAAGTGGTAATCTTACACTTTGTCTTAGACCCATCCTGCCTGTGTATGATGAAACACTACATTTCATTCCTGCTGTTTATCACTGGTGCTCTTGGGGATGTTTAAGTCCCTGGTATCATTTTTGTACACTACCCATCTCAGTTGTGGGTGAAGAAGAAGAGCTTTGGGTAAACAACATGGGGTTTGGCCGCCTGTCACTAGAGAGGAAGATGCAGGAGAACCTGCCCAAAGTCTGAGTTGCTAGGGGGCTAAGGATTTACATAGCCACAGCCCCAGTATACTGAGATTCTCTCACTCTGCCTTTCTAGAAAGAAAAATTGCCAGGTTGCTAGGAAGCAACTCAGGAGAAGGAAGGGGAGGATGTGGAGATGGAGGATTTAAGAAATTTATCTGTTATCACATCATCAATGCTTTAAAATTGAAAACTATTAGTTAAATGTTGAGATTCATGGTAGTTTACAAATTATGGCATGTTTTATACTTAGCACATATGTTAGAGCTGCCCATCCAACATGGGTTCTTTTTGGTAGTGTGCTTGTTGAACTGGGATTTGGGGATTTGATTGAGGTAAATAAGATTTTGATGTACCTTAATTGCCACCATTTGCCAACTATTCAGAGTTACCTTGAGTAGAAAAAATGTGACCAAAATCTCTCTAGACTGCCTTCCCTTCATGCACCTGTTTCTCTTTGCTGACATTTTTGTCAGAACAGGTATTCATGGGAAGACTGTTCCCTGGATATTTTCGACACTGACTGACCTGCTTATGGTACTGCTAATAGTGCCTTCTCTCTCCCATGATGGAACAAACTTACAGAGTTCTCTTGAGGTAAGTCTGCCAGTGGTCCAGGGCAGGATGCACTTGGAATATCGCCCCATGACAGTGTTCTGGCAGTAATATTGACCTCTGATCTTTTGCTCATCATCTTTCTGCTCCTTGATTATAATTAAAAACTTTTAAGTTGGTGGAAGTGGAAAGAACATGCAAGTCATCCACTCAAATACACTTCATTTATCTAATGAAAACTCTAAAGAGAAGTGACCAATCTGAGATTCCTAATGGCAGAATTTACTGTTGAATGATATTCCTAACTACTAGATTACATGATCACTTTTGCTTATAGTCTCTTAAAGCTTTCCCCTTAGTGTGGTGGTGGCTTGGAGGTTTTCATTTTATTCACTTAGTAGAGCTATGCATATGCTAGCCATTCATTCAGCACATATAATAATAATGACTGTATACACACACATATCATATATATTTGGTGTTTGTATGAAATGGATATAAAATCCAAATCAAATGCCTTTTATGTGATAAATAGCTCACTTTTCAGGATCCCGTAAGAACCATACTTCCAAACATCCATCACAGAGGTGACCTAAAAGGAGGGGGGACTGTCACTGAAAAGGAAATCCCATAACATCTCTAGCTATATTTTCTGGAAATTGTGTTGATAAACTTTGACTAAGATGGTACTCCCATTTCCATTGCACTTTGTCTCAGGTTTCAAACAAGACATGTAAAGGATTTTTGGTGCTGGGACAAGTTTTGTAGGTGAGCACATGCCACTTACAATCTAAAACTAGGTTGCTGTCTCTAAGTCAAGCAGCATTCAGAACATACCCAGAGGTTCTCTGTGGAAACATTACAGATTCATTAGTACCTAGGGATCATCTTCTGTTGGGGAATATCACAGCATCACCTGACAAAAATAGAAATATGGGAAGCCTTTTACATCTTTGTTCACTATAGTTTGTTTTATTGGAAACTTGGTAGCAAGAACCTTTCAAAACCTTAGTCTCTTTATATTTAAAAATTAAAAAAATATGGACTTAGTCATATATTCCTTGATTTCTTTTGTGCAGCCTCTAGCATTTTATAATTTCCAACCAAATGCTTTTTAAAAACCTTTCTGTGTGGATTTCTCATGTAAGAGGCACCTAGAGACACCATACTGCTGATTAATGGCTTTTCTCTGCTTCCACTGAACCTGTTAATCTTTCCTGTATCTGCTATTCCCTGGTCCGTCTGTCATGGAACACATCCTTGCATCTGAGATAAACAGAGTAATACAATGACAATGACAGAGGTCAGGCCTAAGCATCAGAACAGTTGCCGAGAAAATGATCCTCAACTTTAATAGCAGCTGTTGATGCTACCTTGTAGACTGTATCTTGGTGAGGTACTATAAGTTCATTTCAGTGGGGTTTTCTGTTTTTACTTTCAAATGGGGTTGCTTTGTTGCTTTTAGATTTATGAGCAAAGTAATTGTTTTTAGATATTTTTATCAGAAATGGTCCTTCTGTAGCAAATTAAACCAATAAACAATAAACAGAAGTAAAGATCAAAAAGAAGGAAAGGAAAAAAACAAAAATTATCAGACACTTCTTCGAAGCACACCTGGCTTAATTAAACTGGGAGTCTGTCACATCTTCATTTGGGCACAGTGCTTGTCAGGGCTAAGTGCTACATAAGTGTGTGTTAAGGGAAATTTACTTGAGTCACATTTTAACAGTTTCATTTAAGGAAATACTTACACTTTCCCCCAAATATCCCCTTTTAAAGTAAAAGAAAATCCATTCTCTCAAATAGAAAGTGTCTGTTGCCCTCTAAAAGTATTTTTCTAGTATGAAAATTATACTTTTTAATCGCCATAAAAACTTAAATGCAAAGGAGCTTTTTAGCCCAGAACAGAATGCCCTAATTTTATGTCAAGTCTTTCTTTATAGGAAGAAAAATAGTGACATTTGGACCTAGATATATTTATCAAGATTTGTGAAAATGTGTGATTTTATGCAGGAATCCTGGCAAAGTTAAATTATAGTTGAAAGACCATTAAATGCTTTTATGACTTTCCATTGCTACAGTCTGCATTGTAAATAGACGTGGCCAAGGATGTCATTCAGAGCATTCTGCAAATTCTACTAGAGAAGCACCACAAAAAAATGATACAGTATAATGTTATTCACACAGAGACAGAAGCAAACACAGAGTTCATGGGCAGATGCTTGGCTGAGCAGAAGCCCAAGCCCACACTGAGCTCTTCGGGGTTCCTCTCCTCTTGTGGGAGCATCTACAGACTGCTGATGCAGCATTAGTTCTGTGCTTCCAGGTAGATGTCAAAACCCACACAATTTTCCCCTTTGTTCCTATCAAACAAAGTGAATGGTGAATAGAAATGCAAGAAGTGGCCCCCATGTTTCCCATTTGACTCTCTCTGAAAAGTGCACTGTAACTTATAACAACAGTAGTAAAGAACAATGTATATGGATAAAACCAAATGATGAACATACACTCAGAGATGTATAAAATTGTCAAAGGATTACGCGAGTTTCCATTTTTCATCAAAGACTGATAAGATTAGTCAATTGCTTATTTCCACGGAGTAACATAAGCCCACAGGAAAAACAGCACTAAGAAGGTAGCATTTCCTGTTGTTCACACATAATAAAATGACCTGAAGTCAGCTAGGAATTTCCTAGGACTATTCATGTTTCAAATAATATAGAATATAGCCTTAGGGATGTTATAACTGCAAACAACTGTTGGTCTTTACGGCTGAGAGACTGATCCTGGCATGCACCCCTCCCCCACAGCTTATAACAATAGTGAATTCCAAACCAAATCTAGAGTGAACTTCTTAAGAAACATAACGAGAGAACTATTCCTGGGGAGGACATTCTAGAAACCTCTGTTTAGCCATATAAACTGTGTTGACGCCAAGAAAACTTAGCTAAAATGATTTGTATTTTCTTCCTGAAAGTAAATTACATCAAGGTGCTCAGAAATTTCTCAAATTGCTGTTAGCAATTGGTGATCTATTTCCCTGTTTGGAGTGTGACCCACATGTAGGTATTTACAATCATGGCCTCAGCTTAACTCCAACAGGCTGTTGAAGGCAATGAGAGTCGTTCTTAGAGGCCTCAAGCTCGACACTGCTAAATGGTTCAGAAAGTGACTTCATGATTCATAAGAGAAACAGATGAAGAAGAGAATGAGGTGCTGCGTTGAGCGCTCAGGTGCCTGTTTCCAGATCAAAAGCAAATTAAGTTCCCGTATGTGGTAGCAGCAGAAATCAAACACACATGTTCTGCGTGATGGGTACTGTGAAATGCTTCAATGGAAAACTCTCAGTGGGATATTCAGTGGGAGATTAGCACGTAATGTGCTTAATAGGATTTATAGAGCTAGCCCGAGGGCATGTAGAGGTCTGATTTTAAACTGTCAGGATAAGGACCATATTAGAATTAAAAAAAGGCAACCTGTTTTAAACCACAGTCTCAAAGCCTAAATAAGCTTTTTCCTCACTTCATAAAAAAATTGGTTTCATTCCTTTGGGTGTGCCTCACAGTTTCATTTGGCTTTTGATGTGACTTTCAACGCATAGACCCATGGTTCCTCTGCAGAAGCAAGTGCATAGTACACCCCTGCAGTGGGGGTGCAGCCCCACCCCTCCATTTCTAAACTTCTGTCTTTAAAAACAAAAGAACTAGCTCTTGTTTCAACTTCTCTGTAGGAGTGAAAAACTGACAGATCGTTAAGGTATTATTCAACCATAACGTTTTAAAATCACTCTTTTATTATGCTCTGAAGCTTGGGGTGAGGACAGTGTTAAGACTCTTTACAGTTTTTATTCAACTGTTTCCAGAAGAGAATGTCAACTCTCTGAAGCACCAAGCTACAAGATCGAGAAGAATCTACTTTAGAGCTGGAGAATGCATAACAACTCGGGCGTCTACAGCCTCATCATAACTGTGTGCTTTTAGGATGAGAAGGCATAGAATAGCACTTAATCATTTTCTTTAACGTCCTATTGACTTTCATTTGGGAAAAGAAATGTGACGAAGAGTATTTTCATTTGTTTTGCTCAGTTTCGCTCTCTCTACAAAAGATAGTACGAAACTGCCCAGGGTCTTCCCTTATCCTTCTAAACGTAATCTGACTCCGGAAAAATGCAGGCGCTTCGTTCATAGTACTTGACTGCCCCCTATCGGACATTGTGATGTTTTTATGCTTATGTTATGAAGCAAGCTTTAAAAACGTAATTCGAGTTTTGACAAAATAAAGTGAAGTGGAAAATGCATTATTAGGATGATCATTTTATAGAAAATACCAAAAGGAAATTCTTAGTTGTTTCTCTGCTTTTGTAGACTGTCCACCAAGGTTGACTGGCATACTTTCCTGTGGTATAAATTAATGGGAACATCTACCTTTTCAAAGCTATGAATTAAAATTTTGTGTTACAAGAAGATTGGGTAATTAAGTGTCTGTAAGTTTATAAAATAAAAATGAATACACACACACACACATATATATATATATATATATGATGTACTTTAAATTCCTGATAAGTAACTAAGAATAAGATTAACTACACACAGGGGGAAAGCACATAGTTATAAGTTTCTGATATCTGGGTGTTATCTATGAATATTTTGGGGGCTTTTCTAAGCTTTTCGATTACATAACAGTGTTTCAATTGAGTTGGAATTACATCTCCCTTTCCCTTTCTCCACCTTCAAGAGGATAGCCTCTTTTTTACTAATGTTATTATACCCAAATGTAGTTACATGTGTATGAATATATGCACATATACAAACATGTATAAACACAGTCCGCTGAGTTCACTTGGTTAACAGCGTGTATATGTTTTCATGGCTCACCAGTCTGCACTGGACAATCAATAATGGCTCATCCCTGAAGAGGCTAGTTCTCCTTTCCCCATCAGTGGTAAGCTGCCATACCACCAGAATGCACCTGATCATTTCTAAGTTTTCTTTGTTTGTAGCAGAGCCTGGAGTTGAGAGTGTTAGCACAGAAGGAAGTCATTCATATACTTTAATCAACGCCATTTATGTCATAAACAATTTGTATTCATGTGGCTAAAAAATATACTACAATACATGACAGGGCAGAAACTTTGTGGCCCACTTAGTAGGTAGATGATTATTGAATCTTAAACATAGATAGAATACTAGATTTGTTTCTGGCTCCATGCATTTGAACTTCAAAAAAACACTGTTATTTCTGTCCTTGATGTAGGGGGAAGTACACATTTACACACATAAGCTCAGGCTGGAAGCTTTTCAGCTTTAGATTAAGTTGCTTTTAGATATAGTAACAGGTAGTGGTCAGCGATCCTCAGTTTCCATTCTTCCATCTCTTCTATCAATTCTCATTTGCTTATTTGGAAGATGCAGCACTTGGCGTGGGATTACTCACACCACAGAAAGGCAAGGCCCCATTGCAATGGCTTTAAACGTAATGAGAAAATGGGTCTGAAGAGACTATTAAAAGGTGTCCTCCTAAGTGATGTAAGCAAAGGCATGCATAAGGCGAGGCAATGGCTTGAAAGCACTCATTTCAGTCACAGTGAAACAAAATCTATTAGTCAAGTAGGGGTTGCTCTGCATGACTTTGAATCTTGCAAGCTGCCATCATTTCAGCAGAGCTAACAGGATGTTAAAGCAGACCTTGCAGATAATAGAAGAAGAAGTGATTGCATTAAACCCTGAAATCAAAGTTGTATCTTGAGGTAGTGCTTTTCAGCATGTACTGCAAAATTTTCCTTCCTAAGAAGGCAATGAAAATATATTATTTGAGCATTTCAAAAATAGCCAGAATAATACAAATATGCTCAAACTGCAATCGAATCACTTCAAACCCTATCACATTCATACTTAGGCATAAGGCTTTTGGATCTCACCTTTTATTTATCCGTCTCCATGGAGGAAGCAGATAAATTTCTTGGCCTGTGCAAATGAACCTTTTTTCTATTAGAGAGTAATTTAAAGAATTCTAGGCCACTGGGTAAAATGGTCTAGCTACTAAGTCTTTCTAACTGCTTTTCCCCAATTTCTGCCAGTTACAACCAAAATGATTTTCTAAAGAATTACTTAAATTTTTAAAGTCACAACATTCACCGTGGTTGAAAAAGCTTAATTCCAAGTCTCCCCTTGTAGCAATTACTGGGGTGTCCCCAAGCCTTTTGTGTCCTAGCCTTCCCAGGATGTTCAGTACACACATGGGGATTTCCCGTGTCATTTGCAGCATCCACAATGCCTTATTTAGTGATTTAGTAATGCTACAACTCTAACTAGTTGCACCATCCACAAAGCCATGTTCTATAGATCTCCCTGCTATGGCCACATGGGCAGATTGATCTCACAGGGCAGATAAGATGCAGGCATGCTTTAAAAGGAGTGAGAAAATGCAGCCAGAAGAGTCACAAAACTCAATACACAAAGTGTAAAACAAAAGTAAAATGTATTGAAGGGGGAACATTACCTGCTATTGTGAAAGGAATTGCCAGAGTCAAGATTTTAGGGATCCCCCTTCCCCATATATTTACATACATACATACATACATACATACATACATATGTATATATATATGTTTTTGTTTTGTTTTAATCAACAGAGAGGATACAGGTCCTTCATGCTTGCAAAATGAAAACTAGGTATTAAAAATGTGCCTGATGAGCAAGGGGAAATGGCTCAGTTATGCCTTGAGCACTAGAGCAGTGTGCTGCAAGGCAAATCTGTAATCTCACTAGGAAATTGGAGAAAGAACCCCAGGGGTTCACTAGTCATCCCAACTTATGGAAACTGCAGAATCACTGAAGAAACCCAATGTACACACACAAACACACACATACACACACACTGGGGTTGCAGGAGCAGTCAGACAGATAGAATGAAAATAATTATGTGTGTTTGTGCTAGGGATGAAAATGGTTGTACTACATTAGGAAAAAATAATCATTGTTGTGAATTTTACCATATAGCAGAGACTGGCCTTAAATTTGTCCCATCTCAGCCTCCTAAGTGCTGAGATTACAGGTGTGAGACACCAAGACCAATGTGTACATGAAATGATTAACCTAAGATAACACATATCTTTAGAGAAGTAGGGACTAGAAAAGTACACAGCTAATGGATGAAGCTATCTTGTTTTTACTATGAAAGATACAAATAAAAAAATACTGAATTTGTAAAATTTTAAATCATCTAAAAATAAGGCTGACTTTTACTGTATTTTGAAGGACTGATGAGAGGGAGGTAACTGGAACCAGGACAGAGACATCTACGGGGTCGGGGTGAGGGGGGATGACACGAGGCTGTGAATACTATAACTGGAGCACGCCAATTCTCAGATCAAGATTAAAGGTTACTTGTATGTTGTTGAATACTACTGGATCAAAGTTGTATTAAGAGACTGACGTGTACATGGGCACCATGGTTAAAGAAGCCTGTGGTTATTTCCTTCCTCTTTTTTTTTTGTTCTTTTTTGGGTTTTTGTTTGTTTGTTTGTTTGTTTTTTGAGACAGGGTTTCTTTGTATTGTTTTGGAGGCTGTCCCGAAACTCACTCTCTATACCAGGCTGGCCTCGAACTCACAGAGATCCGCCTGCCTCTGCCTCCCGAGTGCTGGGATTAAAGGCATGTGCCACCAGCACCTGGCTTCCTGCCTCTTTTTAAGGCCAGAGAAGGAAACAAAATCTGGTCAGTCAAGGGACATTGCTTGTTATCAGAGCAGCTGACTTGTCTGGTTAGGTCTGGAGAAAAGGGACCACACGTTATCAGCATTATGTAAATTCATCACTGCCACAAGTGTCTTCTAATTGAATTTACAAAGGAAGCATGTGCAATTCCACTAATGCATTCAGAGACTCAGTAATCTACAGTGCTGTCAATGCTCCCCACGGGAGACACCAGACCAGTAACATCTGGTTTTCTTGTGTGAATTTAACTCTGATATTATTTGGATCTTCTGACTTTGAGTTTGGCTAAGGGTGTTTTTGTCTTTTCATAAGCCAACTCTTGCCTTCATTGACCCTCTTTATCATTCCCTCAGCTCCATCTTTCTTTTTCCTTCTAATTTGGGTTTTACTAAGTTTTTTTTCAACTTCTGAAAAGTATATTGTTTTTTAATACAGGAAACTGTCACATTATTCTGTCAAGATCAGTAACAATTATTGTCCATTGCTTTTGGAATCTGCTTAATCACTAATAAATACTTACTGATATAGACAATAAAATCTATAAATTCTCTATAAACATGTATCACAAAAGAAATACTTTGCTATTATTATAAGATATTTAGAACTTATATTTTAAGTTGTTTAAAATATTTTGAAAACACTTTTGGTAGCAGGTTTATTGTCAGTGGTGCTTTTTAAACATTTCATTTATTTAACTAATTTATTTATTTGCATTCTTACGGTAAACCAATTCAATTTCTTTAATTTATTTTTATTTCATTTAAATTAGAAACAAATTTGCTTCACATATGTCAATCCTAGCTCCCTTTCCCTCCCCTCCTCTCCTGCCCCACTTCAACCCTCCCCCAACCCCTTCCCATGTCCCCACTCCACTCTCCAAGGAGGGTGAGGCCCTTCTTGGGGGATCTTGAAAGTCTGCCATATGATCTGGGGCAGAGCCTAGGCCCTCCCCCATGTGTCCAGGCAGAGACAGCATCCTCCATGTGTAATGGGCTCCCAAAATCCATCTGGATGACAGCGATAAATGCTAATTTATTGCCTGAGGCCCCAAAGGATACAGAGGCCTCCTCACTGACACCACGTTCAAGGGATCAGGATCAGTCCCATGGTGGCCTCTCAGCTATCAGTCTGGGGTCTATGAGCTCGCCTTTATTCAGGTCAGCTGTTTCTGTGGGTTTCACCCACCAAGTCAGAACTCTTTGCTCATTACTCCTCCCTCTGTGCAACTGGATTCCAGGAGGTCAGTTCAGTGTTAAACACTCTTTTTTTTTTTAACATTTTAATTATCTTAAAAATTTTAAACTTAAATGTATTTTTATTTTATTCTTTCCCTTCCAGATTCTCAACGCTCCCCAGCCACCCAACTTTAATTTCTTTCTCAAAAAAAAAACCAGCTGAAAAATTAAATTCAACAATTAGAAATTAGACAGCCAAAATTTAGAAAAGAGAGAAAAAAATTGGTGTGTGTGGAGGAAACACTAAAATCATCTCAGACAAATACACCCCCAAAAAAGCTATAAAGTCCATTGCTCCTTGATCTCCTGGAGTGTTTGATATACAAAGTGTCATTCTGTTGGAGA